GAAAATGGGCATCCCTGGGTAATGCCAATAACAGCCATAATTAGAAAGATTTGTCAGATAGGTATCCTCCAGAGAAAAGACAGATTTCAAGTACATAGAATTTATGAAAAGAGTTCAAGAGGAAAATATCAAGAATCTATGAAGCTGGGAGCCTATGTAATGGAAATAACTAGTAGAAAGATAAACAGGGTCTAGAAAGGGGAATAGCAAGGTGTATTTCTAGACAATAGAGATTATGGAGGCAAGATGTAGCCTAGAGAGGGACATGTTTAGCTTGAGAGAAGAAAGGCTACTGCACTGACTAAGTAAAATTAGTTAACACAGAAAAACATTTAGAGATGATCTACTAGGTGGGTATATTTGAGGAGGAGGTGAGATTTCACATGGCTCTTAAAAAAGATGTGAGATGTGAAGAAGCTGAGAGTAGAAGGGAGGGCATTCTAGAGCTCTTTGAAGAAATGTGAGCAGAAGTAGGGGAAAGAATGTGCAAACGATTTTTGTGGGACAGTGAATAGAATACTGAATATAACGGAAAGATCATTTTGGGGAATAGTGAGTCATTTATGTGATGATATTTATGTTAATTACATTCAGTTGTGTTTGGGATATTTTTTTCCTATCTAAGCCAGTTAACTTGTGGCCAGGAGGAACACAAACATTTTGATTACTTGTTCTTTTTTCCATAGACACAAACTCTATCCTTCAGTCCTTTTTTGCTCCCCTAATTTACCATTTACTCTCTCTTAGGATGATTTTCCCCATTGTTCATGCTACCTAAAAGTCCAATGTCCTCTCGTTCTCTATTCGACTAACGAGTTCTATATGTATTCCATGGTCACTTCTGCATAGTAATACAAGGAACCCCATTCAATCTACAAATGACTATTTCCTCCTTGCTTGGTTGATTGGCAGGAAGCTTGTGTGCCACACAAACCACCCCTTTAAGGTGACTGTTTAATAAGTGGAATTTCAGTTCTCCCCCACCAACCAGGGAAAATCAAGTTGAAACAGACAGGAAAATGGTTCTGGTTCTTGACACTTTCAGAAGGAAGCATAGATCCATGTGTCCTCGAGCAGACTGGACCTAGGGTCAAATAATAGGCCACTACAATCTTTGAGAGACTAACTGGGCTACTTCAGGGTACATGGGCTCAGAAGAGTTGAATATTGTTTCAGGATATTATCATTTTGTTGACTATTTAAAAGATAGTGATCCTTAGGCCATTGATTATAAATAAATCCAATATATAATATTTGTCATTGATGTATATACGTACATATGAATACACACAATGTATTATTTTCCAACCTAGGAAATTTCCAGCATGGGACTTTGTTCCACCAATGTGGCTTGCACTCCATCTGTAACTTAATTAATCGGTCTTAAGGAGTTATTTGAAGTACATTTGCCCAGGGTCATACAGGTATTAAGTGTTAGATATAGGATTTGAACCTAGATCTTCCTGACTCCAAGCCAGGCACTCTGTCCTATGTGTATGTATAAAGTTTATTAGTATAAATAATATATAGTATAAGTTTGTTCATTTGTACTTGAAGATCCTAAAGAATAGTATACTGTATTTGCATATTTTTTGAGTTTCCCTTCCAATTTAGCTGATGAGAACAAATTAAGTGTCCAGCAACTGAACAAACTGAGGCTATTTTTGTCAACTCAAGAGAAAATGGGAATTTTCACTGGCTTATGGAGGATATGGGGCTTTTTGTTGTTTGAAAGGTAGATGGGACAATCTGATGATTGATGAAAGACATGGGGTAGATAGGAAAGTTTTTAGCTGGCAAGAAAGACAGGCCAAGGTGTAACATATATAACTATGACAGTGTTGAAATGGGCAACAGGGACATTATCTCTGAGGTCCATCTGAGTTTCAGTCTTTTGACTAAACTCAGCAGAAAGAAAAGATTTCAATTCTTTTTTTTGTGTGTGCATTTCTCTCTCTTTTTTTTAATGGTAATTTTTATTTATTTTTTTGTTTTCAACATTTACTTCCACAAAATTTTGAGTTCCAAACTTTCACCCCATCTCACCCCTCCTCCCACCCCAAGATGGCATGCATTCTAAATACCTTTTCCCCTACTCTGCCTTCCCTTCTATCTCTCCCCCCCCTTCTCTTAACCCCTTCCCCTTCAATTTTCCTGTAGGGCAGGATGGATTTCTATACCCCATTTCCTGTATTTCTTATTTCCCAGTTGCATGTGAAAACAATTTTTTTAAACATGTGTTTTTAAAATTTTGGGTTCCAAATTTTCTCCCTTCCTCCCTCCCCACCCACCCTCATTGATGAGGCAAGCAACTAAATATAGATTATATATGTGCAGTTAAGCAAAACACTTCCATAGTAGACATGCTGTGAAAAACTAACTCTATTTCCCTTAATCCCGCCCACCCATTTATTCTGTTCTTTCTTTTGACCCTGTCCCTCCTCAGAAGTATTTGCTTCTGATTACTCCCTTTCCCAATCTGCCCTCCTCTCTATCATTTCCCTACTCTCTTGTCCCCTTCCCCACCTATTTTCCTGTAGGGTAAGACAGATTTCCACACCCAATTGAGTGTGTATGTTATTCCCTCCTTAAGTCAAATCCTATGAGAATAAAATTCACTCATTCCCTCTCACCTTCCCCTGTTTCCCCTCCACTGTAAGAGCCTTTTCTTTTCTGTTTTGTGTGTATGTGGTTTTTTTGGTGGGATAATTTACCCCATTCTACCTCTCCCTTTCTCCTTCTCCTAGTATAGTCCTCTCTCACCCCTTAATTTTATTCTCCAGATATGACCCCTTCATTTTCAACTCACCCTGTGCCCTCTATCTATCTATATCTATATATACCTACGTGTAATTTTTTCCCCTCCAACTACCCTAATACTGACAAAGGTCTCATGAGTTACAAATATCATCTTTCCATGCAAGAATGTAAGTAGTTCAACCTTAATAAGTCTCTTACGATTTTCTCTTTCCTGTTTACCTCTTCATGTTCCACTCAAGTCTTGTATTTGAAAAACAAATTTTTTATTCAACTCTGGTCTTTTCATCAAGAATGCTTGAAAGTCCCCTATTTCACTGAATGACCATTTTTTCCCCTGCAGGATTATACTCAGTTTTGCTGGGTAGGTGATTCTTGATTGTAATCCTATCTCCTTTGCTCTCTGAAATATTATATTCCATGCCCTGTGGTCCCTTAATGTAGAAGCAGCTAAATATTTGTTATCCTGATTGTGTTTCCACAATACTTGAATTGTTTCTTTCTGGCTGCTTGGAATATTTTCTCCTTGACCTGGGAACTCAGGAATTTGGCTACAATATTCCTAGGAGTTTTCCTTTGGGGATCTCTTTCAGGAGGAGATCGGTGGATTCTTTCAATTTCTATTTTGCCCTCTGGTTCTAAAATATCTGGTATCTAAAATATCTAAAATTTCCTTGATAATTTCTTGAAAGATAATGTCTAGGCTCTTTTTTTGATCATGGCTTTCAGATAGTCCAATAATTTTAAAATTCTCTTTCCTGGATCTATTTTCCAGGTCAGTTGTTTTTGCAATGAGATATTTCACATTGTTTTCTAATTTTTCATTCTTTTGAATTTGTTTTACAGTGTCATGATTTCTCATAAAGTCACTAGCTTTCAATTGCTCTATTCTAATTTTTAAGGAATTATTTTCTTCAGTAATCTTTTGAACTTCCTTTTCCATTTGTCCAATTTTGCTTTTTAGGGCATTCTTCTCCTCATTGACTTTTTGGCAAAAGAGCCATTTGGGTTAGGCTATTTTTTAAGGTGTTATTTTCTTCACTATTTTTTTGGGGTCTCCTTTAGCATCACTCTCAGTTTTTCCTCTACTTCTCTTACTTGCTTCTCAAAATCCCTTTTGAGCTCTTCCAAGGCCTGGGACTGATTCATATTTTTCTTGGAGGCTTTGGATGTAGGAGCTTTGACTTTGTTGTCTTCTTCTGGTTGTATGTTTTGATCTTCTTTGTCACCAAAGTAAGATAATATGGTCTGACTCTTTTTGCACTGCTTACTCATGATCCAGGCCAATTACTTGAGTTTTGAACTCTTTGTTAAGGTAAAAGTCTGCTTCCAATGTGAAGAGTGTACTGTCTCAAGCTTTGGGGTTTGTGCTGCTGTTTTCAGAGGTAGTTCTAGGGACCTGTAAATTTCTTCCAAGGTGCTATGATAAGGGGTGAGGTGTTTTCACTCCACCACCACAACAAGCTCCACTGCACCAGTGTTCCTCCAGGACCACCCCTCAGAACTGTGACCCAGATCCAAGCAGGGGCAAAGCAAGAGATTCTTGCCTCAGCCCTGGCAAAGAGATTGCTGCAATCCCCCTCTGATCAGCAACTCGATTCCCCGCTCAGTCTGTGGGCCAAAAGCTCAGGAAAAAGCTGCGGCCCCGGGTAGTACTCGAGACTTGAGGCTGAGACCTAGCTCCTCTCTCACTGCAGTCACAGACTTTTCCCACTGACCTTCTAAGTTGTCTTTGGCGCTCAGGGGTTGAGAAGTCTGGAAACCACCATAGCTGCCCGTGATTCAGTCCTCTGAGGCCTGTTCCAGGGTCGCTGCAGCCTGCGCGCCCGTGCCGAACTGCGCTCCTCTCCCCGCCTGGCGCAATATACCTTTCTGATCAACCATCCAGGCTGTCGTTGGCTGGAAATTTGTTTCACTGTCTTTTTATGGGTTCTGCTGCTTTAGAATTTGTTTAGAGACATTTTTTTAGGTATTTGGAGGGCTTTGGGGGAGAGCTCAAGATAGTCACTGCTTTCCTTCTGCCATCTTGGCTCCACCCTCCTCAAGATTTTAATTTTTAAGAAAGACCATTTATACAATTTATCTCTTTTCTCATGTTTCTGTATCTTAATACCTTGCAGAACCCATGAAGTAAAATTTTCTAAGATATTCCCAAAATTTTTATTTTGAATAGACAGCACAAAATTATATAAAGGAAGCAGTTACTAATATTAAACATTAAGCTAATATTCCTAATTCAACAGATACAAAAATTACCAGAAGCAGTGAAGGATTTGTCTCGAGCCATCCACCTCCAGCCAGATGGAATCCACTTGTATATAATTAGGTAAGTAGACAAAAAGAACTTTGCTCTATCCTCATTGCATCAAGATAAGGATCAAAGTGGCACATATACATTGGCATACATAATATGTATGTGATTATATAATATACAAATTTATGTATTTACATAATACATCCATATGTATACATATGTACTAATATATACTGGTGTCTATTGTGTGGGATATATTATGTATATACATACAAAGATATGCATTCTATATTATTTATTTTAGGAAAATCACAAATTTCATTACTTAACATGTTAGTAAGATTTTTAGATTCATCTTGACCATTATTTCCATCAATTACTGAATCAGTAAGCATTTATTAAGAAGTCACTACGTGCCAAGAACTGTTCTAAATGCTAGGGATGCAAAGAAAGGCAGTTCCTGCTTTGAAGGAGCTCACAATCTCATGGGGAAGATAGCACACAAACAATTATATAAAAATAAGGTATATATATAGGATAAATAAGAAATAATCAATAGAGATAGGAGAGGTTTCCTATAAAGGGTGGAATTTAGCTGAGACCTAAAGAAAGTCAGAGACCCAGAGGTGGAGATGAGAAAATGGCTGGAGCTGAGAGATGTAGCATCTTGTTGGAGGAACAGCAAGGCCAATGTCACTAGATCAAAGAGTACAAGAAGGTGTATAAGGTGTAAGAAAACTGAAAAGGTAGCAGGGGGATAGGTTGTAAAGGGCTTTGAGTGCTAAATGCTCTATTAAGTGAAAGGATTGTCTTTCTTTTTTCTAATTGCATTCCCAATTCTTAGCACAGTGTCTGGCATATCACAGGTGCTTAACATATGTTTATTGGATTAGATTTTTTAGAATAGGATGATGAGCATAAGTAGGCTGCAGCATCTTAGCAATAATGACCCAAGCAACAAGAAGAAGCTTAGAAGAAGATGTATTATACAAAGGAAATATATGACTGAAGAAGGTATATCATGGAGCAGTAGTGAGAGATAACATAGAGATGGCTTAATGTTTAAAAGTCAAGAGGAAAGCCACGTTGGGTAAATCTGCTAGGAAAGACTTGTGGAGGACATAGATGACAATTACATAAGAATACGTGGATAGCTTAGATTTTTACTAGAGGAGAAAATCCTGCATATCAATGAGATCACACATCCACTGAAACATTAAATTATATTAACAATAATAATGACAATCACTCATTACATTTGTAATAGACTTGGTAGTTTTCAAAATGTTTTCATATCACTGGATCCTCAGAACAACCTTGTGAGGTAAACAACTTACTTATCAAGCTTTCTGTGAAGCATATCTGGCAAAAATTATTCATTTCAAGTATCACACCCTCTTTTTCCCTTAAAGGAGGTGCAGATACACAGGAAGCTATAGTCACAACCCTGCACACAGGTAGCCCAGACCATAGGATAGTCTTCTCACTGGACTGAAGCAAGCAGTGGGATTCAGCAGCCCCCTGGGTGTCTAAGCAGTCTTTTTTAAAGGACTGCACTTCTCACCTCCTGGCATGAGAAAGATTCCCTAAAAATTGTCAGCTTCACCCAGCCTAACCCTCATCTGCTTAGAAACAAACAAAAAAATGTGCAAACATTTTTGCGAAGATGATTCTATTCACCATTGATACATGGAAGGTGTACATGCTTATGGACAACAAGAAATTCAGTAGACCTGAAAGACAAATAGCTCTTGTGAGAGAGCTTGGCAAGTATTGCATCCAAATAGCACCCTTGAGTGAAACAAGGCTAGCAAATTAAGGCCACCTTACTGAAATCAGAGCTAGATACACATTTTTCTGGAGTAGCCACAGTGATGGGGAGTGCTATGAAGCTGACATAGGTTTTGAATTCAAAACTAATCTAGTCAACAAGCTTGTGTGCTTACCAAAAGAAGTGTGTGACAGGTTCATGACAATGCTGTTGCCACTTGCAGGAAATCACAACACGAACTTCACCAGTGTGTATGCTCCCACCATGATGAACCCTGATGAGGTCAGGGAAAAATTTTATGAAGACCTGAACACTTCATCACTAATGTGCTGAAAGAGGATGATCTTGTAATTCTGAGTGTCTTTAACACCAGAGTAGGCACAAACTACCAGACATGATAGAGAGTCCTTGGGAGGAATGGAGTCAGAAACAGCAACAGCAATGGTTACTTACTACTAAAGACTTCTGTGTCTAATGGCCTTTTTTTAAATGATTTTCTTTTTTTGTTTTTTGGTAAATTTTATTATTTTAAACTTAAATACAAAATAAGGAAAGAAAAAATTGCCATGTACACAGCAGAACATAAGAAAGGATTCAATATAAAATAATAAATTTCCATTTCAAGAAAACCTATATAATAAATACTGCACATTGTTTTCAAAGCAGCCCAGATTTTCTTTGCTACCTTGTAGATTTTCTTTGGTTCTCTGCTATGCACCTTTTACTTTATTTTTCCCCTCCTTCCCTCTCATCCCCAACCCTAAAGAAGGCTACAATTAAATATGGATACATACAGATAGATATCTATAAACATACATATATATATGTACACATATATAAACTCATACACATATACCTAAGACCATACTATGCTTAATTCCACTTGTCATCTGTTTCTCTGAAGGTGGATAGCATCTTCCCTCATAAGCCCAAGTCTTCCCATGTTTTTCTAAATCAACCAGCTCATCATTTCCTCCACCACAACAATATTCCAACCCAACCACATCTAATCTGAAAAATTTGTCTATGAAAGTTTTTTCCCCAATTTTCTGCATTCCTTCTATTCTTGGCTGCATAGGCTTTATTAATACAAGAAATTTTTAATTTAAAATAATTGAAATTATCCATTTTATACTTCAAAAATGCTCATACCTTATAATATAGTTTAGGGACTGATACTGCTGAATCTGCTTCCTTTACATATGTTTCCCCTGGTTTCTTTGAAGTCCTTGATCATATGAACTTTGTTACTATTTTTTTCTTACTCAGTAGAAAATTTTTTTGGTAATTTAGTTGGGATGACATTGAATTAATAGATTAGTTAGGTAAGATTGTCATTTTAATTGTATTGGTTTTATGAACAATAAATATTACTTCAATTATTTAGATCTGACTTTATTTGTATAAAAAGTGTTTTCTATTTATATTCATATAGTTCCTGTGTCTGTTTTGGCAGGTATACATTCATCTAGTTATTTTAAATGGTCTAAAGCAATATTAAATAATATTGCTGATGCAGTGTAGTTTCCCTATTTTTATCTTTTGAATAAATCTATTTTAGCGTTAACTTTGAGATTCTGATTACTACTCCTGCTTTTTTTACTTAATAAATTCTACTCCTGACCTTCATTTTGTCTTTATGTGTATCTCTCATTTTTATAGCATTTCCTGAAAGCAACATACTGTTGAATTCAAAATTTTAATCTGTTATCAGTTTCCACTTTATGGATAAATTCACCCCATTCACAGTCTAAGCTATAATTATTTGTGTATTTTCCTCCTTCCTATTTTGTTTACTATCCTTCTCACCCTATTCCTATCCCTCCTCATTCCTCTGCTTTACTTCTACTCGCTGCCTTGCCATCCTATTCCTTAACCTACCCATCCCTCCAAGAGTCCCTCCCTTATCCTCTTCCCCTGCCCTATCCCCTTTCCCTCTTATTTCTGTGTTAAGAAGACTTTTATACCTTTCTAGATACACACTTTGTTCCTTCTTTAGCCTATTCCCAAACAGAGTAAGGTTCCATCACTACCCACTCTCCCGCCTACTAGTTTCTTCTGTATCAATTTTTCTTTTTGTTGTTGTTGCTGTTGTTGCTGTATGCTTCATTGTACAAGATAATTACTTCTTGTTATGTATCCCTACACAGTTTTATTTTTTTAAATCATCTCAACTTACACAGTTCATCCCAAGACTCTTTTCCAAACTACCCAAATAATTATGATAGTCATAAGAGTACTGCTAATATTTTCACATATAAGAAGTAAACAATTTGACCTCATTGAGTCCCTTATAATTGGTCTTTAATGTTTACCTTATATTTCTCCTGGATATTATGTGTATAATTTTCCCTTAAGTTCTGCTGTTTTTGTCACAAATACCTGAAAGTTTTTCAGTTCATTAAATGTCCTTTTTTTTCATTCAAGGTTATTCTTAACTTTGCTGGGTAAGTTACCCTTGGTCATAAGCCCAGCTCTTTTGCTCTATGAAAATAGTATTCCAAGACCTACAGTCCTTTAACATAGTAGCTGCTAGGTCTTGTGTAATCCTTATTGTAGTTCCCTGATATTTAAAGTGTTTTGGTTTTGTGTTTTTTTTTTTCTTGTTGCTTCCACTATTTTCTCCTTAGCCTGGGAGCTTTGAAACTTGGCAATGATAACTCCTGTAAGTTTTCCTCCTGGGATCTCTTTCAGGTGGTGATTGGTAGATTTTTTTCTATTTCTGCTTTGCCTTCCTGTTCTAGAACAGGGGTGGAAAACCTGCAGCCTCAAGGCTGCATGTGGTCCTCTAGATCCTCAAGTGCAGTCTTTGGACTGAAATCAAACTTGGATCCAAAGATCCTTCCTTAAGTTTTTCATTCTCTGTTTCAAGTTGATTGACTCGTCATGATTTTCTTGGATTGCTCTTATTTTTTTTCTAATTTTTCCTCAATCTCTGTTATTTGATTTTTAAGTTCTTCCAAGAATTCTTTTTGTGCTTGGGACTATATGATGTGTCTCATTGAAAAAAGGAGTGGCTTTTTTTTTTTGTTCCATTATCTTCCTCTGAACATGAATCCAGATCTTCTTTATCCCCATAGTAGCTATCCATGGTTGGGTTCTTTCTTCTTTGCTTACTCATTTTTACTTTTTTTTTTTGGTTTATTTTGTTTTTAGCAGCTATTAGTGTAATCAAGTTATAGTATAGGGGATGATGCCCCAAGTCCCAGGACCTTCTTACTGTTTTTTTCTGAGATCTGTCCCAGGGCTCAACCTTGGGCTCTCCTCTCCACTGCTAAGTCATTGCAAGGGCCCCTCATCA